TCTCTTTGTTATCTAGAGGAGCCTCCAGAGGACATCCTTGCCTCTCGTTGTTAGTCTAGGAGCCCCAGAGGACAGTACTGCTCTACTTATTGTTTAGTCTAGAGCCCCCAGAGGACAGTACTGCTCTACTTTGTTAGTCTATGAGCCCCCAGAGACAAGTACACCTCACCAACACGCTCTACTTTGGTATCTAGGAGCCCCCAGATACAGTACTGCTCTACTTTGTTTAGTCTAGGCGAGCCCCCGAGCAGTACTGCTCATCTTTGTTAGTCTAGGAGCCGCCAGAGGAGACAGTACTGCTTCTACTTTTGTTCGTCTAGGAGCCCCCAAGACAGTACGCTCTACTTTGTTCGTCTAGGAGCCCCAGAGGACAGTACTCTGCTCTACTTTGTTAGTCTATAGGAGCCCCCAGAGACAGTACTGCTCTACTTTGGTTTATCTAGGAGCCCCCAGAGGACCGTACTCTCTACTCTTGTTATTCCTAGGACCCTCCAAGGACAGGACTAGCTCTACTTGTTCTCGGACCTCCAGAGGACAGTACTGCTCTACTTTGATTAGTCTAGGAGCCTCCAGCGACAGTCCTGCTCTACTTTTGTAGTCTAGGAGCCTCCATAGGACAGTACCTGCTCTACTTGTTTAGTCTAGGAGCTCAAGGACAGTACTGCTCTACTTGTAGTGCTAGAGCCCCCAAGGACAGTACGGCTCTACTTTGTTAGTCTCGATCCGCCAGAGGAAGTACTCTCTACTTTTTAGTCTACAGCCCCCAGAGGACGTACTCTGCTCTACTTGTTAGTCCGAGGACCTCCGAGGACAGTAACTCTGCTCCTACTTTGGTTAGTCTAGAGGCCCCCAGAGACAGTACTGCTCTAACTTATTATTCTCGGAGCCTCCAGAGACAGTAAACTGCTCTATTTGTTATCTAGGACGCCCAGAGGACAGTACTGTCTCTACTTTGTTAGTCTAGGAGCCCCCAGAGTAACAGTACTGCTCTACTTTTGTTAGTCTAGAGCCCCGCGGACAGTCACTCTCTGCTCTACTTTTTTAGTCTAGGAGCCCCCGAGGACATACTGCTCTACTTTGTTAGCCTAGAGCCCCCAGAGACAGTAAACTGCTCTACTTGTTAGTCTAGGCGCCCGCCAGAGGACAGTACTCTCTGCTCTATTTGTTTAGTGCTATGGAGCCCCCAGAGGACATTACTGCTCTACTTTGTTAGTCTAGGAGCCCCCGAGAACAGTACTTGCTCTACTTTGTTTAGTCTAGGAGCCCCCAGAGGACAGTACTGCTCTACTTTGTTAGTCTAGAGCCCCCAGAGGACAGTACTGCTCTCCTTTTGTTAGTCTCGGATCCCCCAGAGACAGTACGGGCTCTACTTTGTTAGTCTAGGAGCCCCCCGAGGAAGTTACTGCTCTACTTTTGTTAGTCTCGGAGCCCCCAGAGTACGTAACTACTGCCTCTAACTTTGTTATCTAGGAGTCTCCAGAGACAGTAGGCTCTACTTTTTTTGGGGTTGTCTAGGAGCCCCCAAGGACAGTAACTGCTCTACTTTTGTTAGTCTAGGAGCCCCCAGATGACAGTAACTGCTCTACTTTGTTAGTCCTAGATCCGCGAGGCCCGTACTGCTCTAACTTTGTTAGTCTAGGAGATCCCCCAGAGGACAGTACTGCTTCTACTTTGTAGGTCTAGGATTCCCATAGGAAGTACTCTGCTCTACTTTGTAGTCCTAGGAGCCCCCAGAGGACAGTACTGCTCGACTTGTTTATCTAGGAGCCCTCCAGAGGACAGTACTGCTCTACTTTGTTGTCAGTAGCCCCCGAGGACATTACTCGCTCTACTTTGTTAGTCACACTAGGAGCCCCCAGAGGACCGTACTGCTCTACTTTTGTTTAGTCAGGAGCCTCCAGAGGACAGTACTGCGCTACTTTGTTAGTCTAGGACCCCAGAGGACGTACTGGCTTCTTTTTGTTTAGTCTAAGGAGCCTCCAGAGGAACAGACTGCTCTACTTTGTTAGTCTAGGATAGGAGCCCCCAGAGACAGTATACTGCTCGACTTTGTTATCTAGGCGCCCCCAAGGACAGTCATCTGCTCGACTTTTGTTAGTCTAGTAGCCTCCTAGGACAGTACGCTCTACTTTGTTCGTCTAGGAGCCTCAAGGAGACAGTCTGGCTCTACTTTTGTTATGTCAGGAGCCCCCAGAGGACAGTACGTACTGCTCTACTTTTTGTTAGTCTAGGAGCCTCCAGAGGACAGTACTGCTCTACTGTACTTTTGTTAGTCTAGGAGCCCCAGAGGACGTACTGCTCACTTGTTAGTCTAGTCAGGAGCCCCCAGAGGACAGTAACTGCTCTACTTTGTTAGTCTAGGAGCCCCCAGAGGCAGTAACTCGTCTCTACTTGTTAGTCCTGGACCCCTCCAGAGGCAGTACTAACTCTTCCTGCTTCTATACTTTGTATTCTAGGACCTCCAGAGGACAGTACTGCTCTACTTTGTTAGTCGAAGGAGCCTCCAGAGGACTAACTCTGCTCTACTTTGTTAGTCTAGAGCCTCCTAGGACGTACTTGCCTCTACTTTGGTTATTCTAGGAGCCTCTCAGAGGACATACGCTCTACTTTGGTTAGTCTAGGAGCCCCCCAGAGGACAGTACTGCTCTACTTTGTTAGTCTAGGATTAGGACCGCCAGAGGACAGTACCTGCTCTACTTTGTTAGATCCTACGAGCCCCCAGAGGCCAGTCTGCTCTACTTTGTTGTCCTAAGTATCTCAGAGGGACATACTCGCTCTACTTTGTTAGTCTAGGATCCCCCCCATAGGACAGATCTGCTCTACTTGTTAGCTGAGCCGCCAGGAGGGACATTACTGCTCTACTTTGTTAGTCTAGGACCCCCAGAGGACAGTACTCTGCTCTACTTTGTTAGTCTAGCGCCCCCAGAGGACAGTACTCTGTCTACTTTGTTAGTCGAGAGCCCCATATGACAGTACTGCTCTACTTTGTGAGTCTAGGAGCCCCCAGAGGACAGTACTTTCTGCTCTACGTTGTTAGTGCGGCGCCCCCAGATGACAGTACTGGCTCTACTTGTTTAGTCTAGGAGTCCGCCAGAGGACGTTACTGCTCTACTTTGTTAGTCAGGAGCCCCCATAGGACAGTACTGCTCTACTTTGTTGTCTAAGGAGCCTCCGAGGACAGTACTACTACTGCTGCTAACTTTTGTTTATTCTAGGAGCCCCAGAGGACAGTAGCTGCTCTACTTTTTTAGTCTAGACCCTCCAGAGGACAGACTACCTGCTCTACTTTGTTAGTCTATTATGGATCCCCCGCGGACAGTCACTGCTCTACTTTGTTTAGTCTAAGGATCCCCCAGAGGACAGTACTCTTCTACTCTCTACTTTGTTTAGTCTAGGAGCCCCCATATGACAGTACTGCTCTACTTTGTTAGTCCTAGGACCTCCAGAGGACATTACTGCGCTACTTTGGTTAGTCTAGGAGGCCCCAGAGGACAGTACTGCTACTGAGGCTCTACTGTTGGTTTAGTCAGGATAGGGGAGCCCCCAGAGGAGCAGTACTGCTTCACTATCTCTTTTGTTAGTCTAGGAGCCTCCAGATGACAGTACTGCTCTACTTGTTAGTCAGGAGGCCTCAAAGGACCGTACTACTTTAAATACTGCTCTACTTTGTTTAGTCCTGGAGCCCCAGGACCGTAGACTGCGCTACTTTGTTAGTCTAGGAGCCCCCGAGGACAGTACTGCTCTACTTGTTTAGTCCTAAGGGCCCCCAGAGGACGTACTAACTTCTAACTTTGCTCTACTACTTGTTATGTCCTAAGGGGAGCCCCCAGCGGACAGACTGCTCTACTTTGTAGTCTAGGAGCCTCCAGAGGACAGTACTCTACTACTGCTCTACTTTGATTGTCTAAGGAGCCCCCATAAGGACAGTACTTACTGTGACTCTCTTTCTACTTTGTTTGTCTAATAGGAGCCGTCCCAAGGACATTACTGAGAAGTATCTGGTATGCAATGCATTGTCACAACTTCGTCATCTGTGTGGTCACATACTAAGTGTTTAGTACTAAACACACGGAGGCGTTACAGACAGTACTAACTGGTTCTATCATAACTGGTTAGTACAGGAGCCCCACTAGGACAGTAACTGCTCTACTTTGTTACTGGAGTCCTCCAGATGACAGTACTGCTCTACTTTGTTAGTTCAGGAGCCCCCAAGGACATACTGCTCTACTCGTTGTCAGTCCTAGGAGCCCCCATAGGACAGTCACTGGGGCGCTACTTTTTTTATCCTAGGAGCCCCCCAGAGGACAGTACTGCTCTACTTTTGTTATCCTAGAGCCTCAGAGACCGGTAGTTCCAGTCACATTTGCCCAGAACCCATACCATATTACAAACCTGAATACCCCACCCTATTGGACCGAGCCTACAGTGGGGTATCGCCTCTTTACCAGGCTGGGGATAGTCTGTAAGGAGCATTGGTAGCGGAGATGGGTGGGCAGACAGGCTGGGCAGAAATAATAGCCAACCTTTATCCTGGAAATAGTCCTCTCTGGGAAGGAAAGCTGGCCAGTAGAAACCATACACCAGGGTTCTATGCGGCCGGAAGGAGGGGGCGTCCGCGAGTAGACCAATACACCCAGGGTCGTCTGCCTTAGAGAGGGGGAGTCGGCAGTAGAACCATACACCAGGGGTCTAGTGCTTCCGAGGGGGGGATCGGCAGTAGACCATACCACCAGGGGTCTGTCTGCCGGAGAGCGGGGGTTCAGCATAGACCAACAACCGGGTAAGTAATAGCATATCAATGTCGGATATCCTCACAAACAACCAAAAACACCTCATTTCTAATGAGATTTTCCGACGGTTAGCTGAAGCGGGATATATGCTTCGATTGAAAGAAAATACAGGAAAGGCTAATATGTTGTTTACACCATCTTGGTGTCTGAGGGTATTAATGTTGCGTTGGACTCTTGCTCTCTCTAACATTTTCTCTCTCTTTCTTCCAGAAGTTCCCGACTGACAAGGCCTACTTCATCGCCAAGGAGCTTCTCACCACAGAGAGAACCTTCCAGAAGGACCTGGCGGTTATTACCGTGGTAAGACTAGTTATAACCATAGTAAGACTAGTTATAACCATGGTAAGAATAGTTATAACCATAGTAAGACTAGTTATAACCGTGGTAAGATTAGTTATAACTGTAGTAAAAATAGTTATAACCGTGGTAAGACTAGTAGACCCCCGCAGCTACACTACCTATACAGCTGGTGTCCTGTAGACCCCCCAGCTACACTACCTATACAGCTGGTGTCCTGTAGACCCCCCCCCCCAGCTACACTACCTATACAGCTGGTGTCCTGTAGACCCCCCAGCTACACTACCTATACAGCTGGTGTCCTGTAGACCCCCCCCCCCAGCTACACTACCTATACAGCTGGTGTCCTGTAGACCCCCCCCCCCCCCCAGCTACACTACTATACAGCTGGTGTCCTGTAGACCCCCAGCTACACTACCTATACAGCTGGTGTCCTGTAGACCCCCCAGCTACACTACCTATACAGCTGGTGTCCTGTAGACCCCCCCAGCTACACTACCTATACAGCTGGTGTCCTGTAGACCCCCCCCCCCCCCCCCCCCAGCTACACTACCTATACAGCTGGTGTCCTGTAGACCCCCCCCCCCCCCCCCAACTACACTACCTATACAGCTGGTGTCCTGTAGACCCCCCCCCCCCCCCCCCAACTACACTACCTATACAGCTGGTGTCCTGTAGACCCCCCCCCCCCCCCCCCCCCCCCCAGCTACACTACTATACAGCTGGTGTCCTGTAGACCCCCCCCCCCCAGCTACACTACCTATACAGCTGGTGTCCTGTAGACCCCCCCCCCCCCCCCCCCAGCTACACTACCTATACAGCTGGTGTCCTGTAGACCCCCCCCCCCCCCCAGCTACACTACCTATACAGCTGGTGTCCTGTAGACCCCCCCCCCCCCCCCAGCTACACTACCTATACAGCTGGTGGTCCTGTAGACCCCCCCCCCCCCCCCCCCCAGCTACACTACCTATACAGCTGGTGTCTTGTAGACCCCCCAGCTACACTACCTATACAGCTGGTGTCTGTAGACCCCCCAGCTACACTACCTATACAGCTGGGTGTCCCTGTAGACCCCCCCCCCCCCCCAGCTACACTACCTATACAGCTGGTGTCCTGTAGACCCCCCCCCCCCCCCCCCAGCTACACTACCTATACAGCTGGTGTCCTGTAGACCCCCCAGCTACACTACCTATACAGCTGGTGTCCTGTAGACCCCCCCCCCCCCCCCCCCAGCTACACTACCTATACAGCTGGTGTCCTGTAGACCCCCCCCCCCCCCCAGCTACACTACCTATACAGCCTGGTGTCCTGTAGACCCCCCCCCCCCCCCCCCCCAGCTACACTACCTATACAGCTGGTGTCCTGTAGACCCCCCCAGCTACACTACCTATACAGCTGGTGTCCTGTAGACCCCCCCCCCCCCCCCCCCCAGATACACTACCTATACAGCTGGTGTCCTGTAGACCCCCCCCCCAGCTACACTACCTATTACAGCTGGTGTCCTGTAGACCCCCCCCCCCCCAGCTACACTACCTATACAGCTGGTGTCCTGTAGCCCCCCCCAGCTACACTACCTATACAGCTGGTGTCCTGTAGACCCCCCCCCCCAGCTACACTACCTATACAGCTGGTGTCCTGTAGACCCCCCCCCCCCCCCCCCAGCTACACTACCTATTACAGCTGGTGTCCTGTAGACCCCCCCCCCCCAGCTACACTACCTATACAGCTGGTGTCCTGTAAACCCCCCCCCCCCCCCCCCCCCCCCCCCAGCTACACTACCTATACAGCTGGGTGTCCTGTAGACCCCCCCCCCCCAGCTAACACTACCTATACAGCTGGTGTCCTGTAGACCCCCCCCCCCCCCCCCAGCTACACTACCTATACAGCTGGTGTCCTGTAGACCCCCCCCCCCCCCAGCTACACTACCTATACAGCTGGTGTCTGTAGAGACCCCCCCCCCCCACCGCCCCCCCCCCCCCCCCCCCCCCCCCCCCCCCCAGCTTACACTACCTATACAGACTGGTGTCCTGTAGACCCCCCCCCCCCAGCTACACTACCTATACAGCTGGTGTCCTGTAGACCCCCCCCCCCCCCAGCTACACTACCTATACAGCTGGTGTCCTGTAGACCCCCCCAGCTACACTACCTATACAGCTGGTGTCCTGTAGACCCCCCCCCCCCCCCCCCCCCCCCCCAGCTACACTACCTATACAGCTGGTGTCCTGTAGGAACCCCCCCCCCCCCCCCCCCCCCCCCCCCAGCTACACTACCTATACAGCTGGTGTCCTGTAGACCCCCCCCCCCAGCTACACTACCTATACAGCTGGTGTCCTGTAGACCCCCCAGCTACACTACCTATACAGCTGGTGTCCTGTAGACCCCCCAGCTACACTACCTATACAGCTGGTGTCCTGTAGACCCCCGCAGCTACACTACCTGTGTGTGTAATGAGGTTCTGTGTGAGGCTGTGTGTGTGTGTGTGTAATGAGGTTCTGTGTGAGGCTGTGTGTGTGTGTAATGAGGTTCTGTGTGAGGCTGTGTGTGTGTGTAATGAGGTTCTGTGTGAGGCTGTGTGTGTGTGTAATGAGGTCCTGTGTGAGGCTGTGTGTGTGTGTAATGAGGTTCTGTGTGAGGCTGTGTGTGTGTGTAATGAGGTTCTGTGTGAGGCTGTGTGTGTGTGTAATGAGGTTCTGTGTGAGGCTGTGTGTGTGTGTGTGTAATGAGGTTCTGTGTGAGGCTGTGTGTGTGTGTGTAATGAGGTCCTGTGTGAGGCTGTGTGTGTGTGTAATGAGGTTCTGTGTGAGGCTGTGTGTGTGTGTAATGAGGTTCTGTGTGAGGCTGTGTGTGTGTGTAATGAGGTTCTGTGTGAGGCTGTGTGTGTGTGTAATGATTGCTGCTGGTGTAAACAAATGGGAGGGTGTGTTAAAACAACAGGTCCCTCCCTTCCCCAGCATAGCCAGCTACATGGAGTGGTATCCAGCTGGCCTCTCCTCGCTAACAGCTGTGCTGTGTTGTGTTGTGTCCCAGTGGTTCCAGGCTGTACTGAGTAAAGAGGAAGTGTAACAGCTGTGTTGTGTTGTGTCCCAGTGGTTCCAGGCTGTACTGAGTAAAGAGGAAGTCTGACAGCTGTGTTGTGTTGTGTCCCAGTGGTTCCAGGCTGTACTGAGTAAAGAGGAAGTCTGACAGCTGTGTTGTGTTGTGTCCCAGTGGTTCCAGGCTGTGCTGAGTAAAGAGGAAGTCTGACAGCTGTGTTGTGTTGTGTCCCAGTGGTTCCAGGCTGTGCTGAGTAAAGAGGATGTCCTGCCAGACTCAGTGAGGACTCTGATCAACACCAACTATGATCCAGTCTATCAGTTCCACCAGTTCTTCCTGAAGGAGGTGGAGCAGAGGCTGCAGCAATGGTGAGGAGGGGCGGGGGTGTGTGTGTCCCCGTACGTCCAGGTATTCAGTACCACTCAGGACTGAATTCAGTGCATCACTCAGTGAGTCACTACAGCAGCCTGTCATACAGGAATGATCATCATCAGAGACCCTGGTGGACGACCAATCAGAGACCCTGGTGGACGACCAATCAGAGACCCTGGTGGACGACCAATCAGAGACCCTGGTGGAAGACCCAACAGACACCACCCTGGTGAAACACTGAGAAGAGGAAAGGAGGACCTAGAGAACACTGAGGAGAGACCTAGAGAACACTGGAGGAGAGACCTAGAGAACACTGAGGAGGAGACCTAGAGAACCACTGAGGAGAGACCTAGAGAACACTGAGGAGAGACCTAGAGACACTGAGGAGGAGACCTAGAGAACACTGAGGAGAGACCTAGAGAACACTGAGGAGAGACCTAGAGAACACTGAGGGAGAGAGACATAGAGACACTGAGGAGAGACCTAGAGAACACTGAGGAGAGGACCTAGAGAACACTGAGGAGAGACCTAGAGAACATGAGGAGAGACCTAGAGAACACTGAGGAGAGACCTAGAGAACACTGAGGAGAGACCTAGAGAACACTGAGGAGAGACCTAGAGAACACTGAGGAGAGACCTAGAGAACACTGAGGAGAGACCTAGAGAACACTGAGGAGAGACCTAGAGAACACTGAGGAGAGACCTAGAGAACACTGAGAGGAGAGACCTAGAGAACACTGAGGAGAGACCTAGAGAACACTGAGAGAGAGACCTAGAGAACACTGAGAGGAGAGACCTAGAGAACACTGAGAGGAGAGACCTAGAGAACACTGAGAGGAGAGACCTAGAGAACACTGAGGAGAACCTAGAGAACACTGAGGAGAGACATAGAGAACACTGAGGAGAGACCTAGAGAACACTGAGGAGAGACCTAGAGAACAATGAGGAGAGACCTAGAGAACACTGAGAGGAGAGACCTAGAGAACACTGAGAGGAGAGACCTAGAGAACACTGACGAGAGACCTAGAGAACACTGACGAGAGACCTAGAGAACACTGACGAGAGACCTAGAGAACACTGAGGAGAGACCTAGAGAACACAGAGGAGAGACCTAGAGACCACTGAGGAGATACCTAGAGAACACTGAGAGGAGAGACCTAGAGAACACTGAGAGGAGAGACCTAGAGAAACACTGAGAGGAGAGACCTATAGAACACTGAGGAGAGACCTAGAGAACAGTGAGAGTCATGAGAACACTGAGGAGAGACATAGATAACACTGAGGAGAGACCTAGAGAACACTGAGGAGAGACCTAGAGAACACTGAGAGACCTAGAGAACACTGAGAGACCTAGAGAACACTGAGAGACCTAGAGAACACTGAGGAGAGACATAGATAACACTGAGAGGAGACCTAGAGAACACTGAGAGGAGAGACCTAGAGAACACTGAGAGGAGAGACCTAGAGAACACTGAGAGGAGAGACCTAGAGAACACTGAGGAGAGATCTAGAGAACACTGAGGAGAGACCTAGAGAACACTGAGGAGAGACCTAAAGAACACAGAGGAGAGACCTAGAGAACACAGAGGAGAGACCTAGAGACCACTGAGGAGATACCTAGAGAACACTGAGAGGAGAGACCTAGAGAACACTGAGAGGAGAGACCTAGAGAACACTGAGAGGAGAGACCTATAGAACACTGAGGAGAGACCTAGAGAACAGTGAGAGTCATGAGAACACTGAGGAGAGACATAGATAACACTGAGGAGAGACCTAGAGAACACTGAGGAGAGACCTAGAGAACACTGAGAGACCTAGAGAACACTGAGAGACCTAGAGAACACTGAGGAGAGACATAGATAACACTGAGAGGAGACCTAGAGAACACTGAGAGGAGACCTAGAGAACACTGAGAGGAGAGACCTAGAGAACACTGAGAGGAGAGACCTAGAGAACACTGAGGAGAGATCTAGAGAACACTGAGGAGAGACCTAGAGAACACTGAGGAGAGACCTAGAGAACACTGAGGAGAGACCTAGAGAACACTGAGAGGAGAGACCTAGAGAACACTGAGAGGAGAGACCTAGAGAACACTGAGAGGAGAGACCTAGAGAACACTGAGGAGAGACCTAGAGAACACTGAGGAGAGACCTAGAGAACACTGAGAGGAGAGACCTAGAGAACACTGAGAGGAGAGACCTAGAGAACACTGAGAGGAGAGACCTAGAGAACACTGAGAGGAGAGACCTATAGAACACTGAGGAGAGACCTAGAGAACACTGAGAGTCATGAGAACACTGAGGAGAGACATAGAGAACACTGAGGAGAGACCTAGAGAACACGGAGGAGAGACCTAGAGAACACTGAGAGACCTAGAGAACACTGAGGAGAGACCTAGAGAACACTGAGGAGAGACCTAGAGAACACTGAGGAGAGACCTAGAGAACACTGAGGAGAGACCTAGAGAACACTGAAGAGAGACATAGAGAACCCTGAGAGGAGAGACATAGAGAACACTGAGAGACCTAGAGAACACTGAGGAGAGACCTAGAGAACACTGACAGGAGAGACCTAGAGAACACTGAGGAGAGACCTAGAGAACACTGAGGAGAGACCTAGAGAACACTGAGGAGAGACCTAGAAAACTCTGAGGAGAGACCTAGAGAACACTGAGAGGAGAGACCTAGAGAACACTGAGAGGAGAGACCTAGAGAACACTGAGGAGAGACATAGAGAACACTGAGAGGAGAGAGAACACTGAGAGGAGAGACCTAGAGAACACTGAGAGGAGAGACCTAGAGAACACTGAGAGGAGAGACCTGGAGAACACTGAGAGGAGAGACCTGGAGAACACTGAGGAGAGACCTGGAGAACACTGAGGAGAGACCTAGAGAACACTGAGAGGAGAGACCTAGAGAACACTGAGGAGAGACCTAGAGAACACTGAGAAAAGAGACCTAGAGAACACTGAGAGGAGAGACCTAGAGAACACTGAGAGGAGAGACCTAGAGAACACTGAGAGGAGAGACCTAGAGAACACTGAGGAGAGACCTAGAGAACACTGAGAGACCTAGAGAACACTGAGGAGAGTCATATAGAACAGTGAGGAGAGACATAGAGAACACTGAGGAGAGACCTAGAGAACACTGAGAGGAGAGACCTATAGAACACTGAGAGGAGAGACCTAGAGAACACTGAGGAGAGACATAGAGAACACTGAGGAGAGACCTAGAGAACACTGAGAGACCTAGAGAACACTGGGAGACCTAGAGAACACTGAGGAGAGTCATAGAGAACAGTGAGGAGAGACATAGAGAACGCTGAGGAGAGACCTAGAGAACACGGAGGAGAGACCTAGAGAACACTGAGAGTCATGAGAACACTGAGGAGAGACATAGAGAACACTGAGGAGAGACCTAGAGAACACGGAGGAGAGACCTAGAGAACACGGAGGAGAGACCTAGAGAACACTGAGAGACCTAGAGAACACTGAGGAGAGACCTAGAGAACACTGAGGAGAGACCTAGAGAACACTGAGAGGAGAGACCTAGAGAACACTGAAGAGAGACATAGAGAACCCTGAGAGGAGAGACAGAGAACACTGAGAGACCTAGAGAACACTGAGGAGAGACCTAGAGAACACTGACAGGAGAGACCTAGAGAACACTGAGGAGAGACCTAGAGAACACGGAGGAGAGACCTAGAGAACACTGAGGAGAGACCTAGAAAACTCTGAGGAGAGACCTAGAGAACACTGAGAGGAGAGACCTAGAGAACACTGAGGAGAGACATAGAGAGCACTGAGAGGAGAGACCTAGAGAACACTGAGAGGAGAGACCTAGAGAACACTGAGAGGAGAGACCTAGAGAACACTGAGAGGAGAGACCTGGAGAACACTGAGAGGAGAGACCTGGAGAACACTGAGGAGAGACCTGGAGAACACTGAGGAGAGACCTAGAGAACACTGAGAGGAGAGACCTAGAGAACACTGAGGAGAGACCTAGAGAACACTGAGAGGAAAGACCTAGAGAACACTGAGAGGAGAGACCTAGAGAACACTGAGAGGAGAGACCTAGAGAACACTGAGGAGAGACCTAGAGAACACTGAGAGACCTAGAGAACACTGAGGAGAGTCATATAGAACAGTGAGGAGAGACATAGAGAACACTGAGGAGAGACCTAGAGAACACTGAGAGGAGAGACCTAGAAAACACTGAGAGGAGAGACCTAGAGAACACTGAGGAGAGACATAGAGAACACTGAGGAGAGACCTAGAGAACACTGAGAGACCTAGAGAACACTGGGAGACCTAGAGAACACTGAGGAGAGTCATAGAGAACAGTGAGGAGAGACATAGAGAACACTGAGGAGAGACCTAGAGAACACGGAGGAGAGACCTAGAGAACACTGAGAGTCATGAGAACACTGAGGAGAGACATAGAGAACACTGAGGAGAGACATAGAGAACACTGAGGAGAGACCTAGAGAACACTGAGGAGAGACCTAGAAAACTCTGAGGAGAGACCTAGAGAACACTGAGAGGAGAGACCTAGAGAACACAGAGGAGAGACCTAGAGAACACAGAGGAGAGACCTAGAGAACACTGAGGAGAGACCTAGAGAACACTGAGGAGAGACATAGCTAATACTGCTCCTCTGAGAGGAGATACATAGAGAACACTGCTCCACTCCTCCCTCTGCTGGTTCAACTTTGTAACTACACTGAGTAGTTCAGTGTTCTTTATTAGTTACATATGGTACATCTACAAGTTGGTTGGAGAATCTCAGCAATGCAGTCAGGGTGTCATAACTCCCTCACCACTCACAGGAAGGGTTTGATCTTCTCCTGGGGATTGATGCTTCTCAGCGGTTAATCACCCTGTTGCAATGTGGTGTCAATTAGAGAGCGGGACAGATGGGTTACTGAATGAGTGATGTTCATTCCGCAGTTCCCCCTCAATATGGTGTCAGTGAGAGAGAGGGAGAAAGAGGGTGAAAAAGTGTCTGTCTGTGTCCTGCAGAGTTAGGTATAGACGCAGGTAAAAATGTTGATATTGATTTCTCTCTCTCTCTCTCTCTCTCTCTCTCTCTCTCTGTCTCTCTCTCTCTCTCTCTCTCTCTCCCTCTCTCTCCAGGGAGGGGCGGTCCAACGCCCACATTAAAGGAGACTACCAGCGTGTCGGAGACGTCATGCTGAAGAACATTCAGGGGTTAAAGGTACAGTACATGTGGATATCGTTCCTACCCTTCAAAATGTCCTCAGAGTAATGTAGGACCTGTGGGTTATAGGTGGAGCCATCTGATGAACATCTAGGAACACCTCATGATGTTGATCATGATGATCACATGGGGTTGGCATCTTTACACTAGCAGCTAACAGTCCTCTTTCCCTAACCCCTAAATCTTCTACCTAACCTACCCCTCTCCTCTCTCTCTGCCCCAGCTAACAGTCCTCTCTCCCTAACCCCTAAATCTTCTACCTAACCTACCCTCTCCTCTCTCTCTGCCTCAGCTAACAGTTCTCTCTCCCTAACCCCTACATCTTCTACCTAACCTACCCTCTCCTTTCTCTCTGCCCCAGCTAACAGTCCTCTCTCCCTAACCCTACATCTTCTACCTAACCTACCCCTCTCTCTCTCTGCCCCAGCTAACAGTCCTCTCTCCCTAACCCCTACATCTTCTACCTAACCTACCCCTCTCTCTCTCTGCCCCAGCTAACAGTCCTCTCTCCCTAACCCCTAAATCTTCTACCTAACCTACCCCTCTCCTCTCTCTCTCTGCCCCAGCTAACAGTCCTCTCTCCCTAACCCCTAAATCTTCTACCTAACCTACCCCTCTCTCTCTCTGCCCCAGCTAACAGTCCTCTCTCCCTAACCCCTAAATCTTCTACCTAACCTACCCTCTCTCTCTCTGCCCCAGCTAACAGTCCTCTCTCCCTAACCCCTAAATCTTCTACCTAACCTACCCCTCTCTCTCTCTGCCCCAGCTAACAGTCCTCTCTCCCTAACCCCTAAATCTTCTACCTAACCTACCCCTCTCCTCTCTCTCTCTGCCCCAGCTAACAGTCCTCTCTCCCTAACCCCTAAATCTTCTACCTAACCTACCCCTCTCTCTCTCTGCCCCAGCTAACAGTCCTCTCTCCCTAACCCCTAAATCTTCTACCTAACCTACCCCTCTCTCTCTCTGCCCCAGCTAACAGTCCTCTCTCCCTAACCCCTAAATCTCTACCTAACCTACCCCTCTCTCTCTCTGCCCTAGCTAACAGTCCTCTCTCCCTAATCCCTTAAATATTCTACCTAACCTACCCCTCTCCTCTCTCTCTCTGCCCCAGCTAACAGTCCTCTTTCTCTAACCCCTAAATCTTCTACATAACCTACCCCTCTCCTCTCTCCCTCTCTCTCTCCTTTCTCTCTCTGCCCCAGCTAACAGTCCTCTCTCCCTAACCCCTAAATCTTCTACCTAACCTACCCCTCTCCTCTCTCTGCCCCAGCAGCAGTTGACGTCCCTCCTGCAGCGTCACGGTGAGGTGTTGGTGGAGTTGGAGCGTTCGTGCCGTTCGTCCCAGCGGCTGGAGGAGGCGTGTCGGGAGTTTGAGCAGCAGAAGGTGTGCTACCTGCCCCTTAACGTGTTCCTGCTGCGCCCCCTGCATCGCCTTCTGCACTACAAACTGATTCTGGAGAGACTCTGCAAACACTACCCCCCCACACACCAAGACTTCAGAGACAGCAGAGGTAGGCTACAGCAGAGAGAGAACCCACTCCTCTAGTTGTCCTAGTTGATAGGGTGTGTGTTAGAGAGAGAACCCACTCCTCTAGTTGTCCTAGTTAATATCTCAGAGATGGTGTGTGTTAGAGAGAGAACCCTCCTCCTCTAGTTGTCCTAGTTAATATATCAGAGATGGTGTGTGTTAGAGAGAGAACCCTCCTCCTCTAGTTGTCCTAGTTAATATATCAGAGATGGTGTGTGTTAGAGAGAGAACCCTCCTCCTCTAGTTGTCCTAGTTAATATCTCAGAGATGGTGTGTGTTAGAGAGAGAACCCACCTCCTCTAGTTGTCCTAGTTGATATATCAGAGATGGTGTGTGTTAGAGAGAGACCCACCCCCTCCTCTAGTTGTCCTAGTTAATGGTCCTCTGTAGCTCAGCTGGTAGAGCACGGCGCTTGTAACGCCAAGGTAGTGGGTTCGATCCCCGGGACCACCCATACACAAAAATGTATGCACGCATGACTGTAAGTCGCTTTGGATAAAAGCGTCTGCTAAATGGCATATTATTATTATTATTATTAATATATCAGAGATGGTGTGTGTTAGAGAGAGAACCCTCCTCCTCTAGTTGTCCTAGTTGATATATCAGAGATGGTGTGTGTTAGAGAGAGAACCCCCCTCTAGTTGTCCTAGTTGATATATCAGAGATGGTGTGTGTTAGAGAGAGAACCCCCCTCTAGTTGAGGTGGTGTGTGTTAGAGAGAGAACCCTCCTCCTCTAGTTGTCCTAGTTGATATATCAGAGATGGTGTGTGTGTACTAAATCTCCTCCTCTAGCCGCCCTAGCTGATATATCAGAGATGGTACTGCAGCTTCAGGGAACCATGATGAAGATGGAGAACTTCCAGAAGCTTCTAGAACTGAAGAAAGATCTGACAGGCATCCAGGACCTGGCTATACCGGGCAGGGTGAGGGAACAGTTTTACCTGACTTTGCTCTGACAACTATTGTACTGATTTATTTGAAGTTGTAGTGCATCAATCCTCATGTTGTCCTTTAGTGTCTCTGATTTACAGAGATGATGTTGTTCATTGTTTACTCAGTGTGTTGTTTATCTACCCAATCCAGGAGTTTATCAGACTGGGATGTCTCAGCAAGCTCTCAGGGAAAGGACTACAGCAGAGGATGTTCTTCCTGGTTAGTCATTACTTCCTACTTCCTGTCACATGACTCCTCTGCTCCTCACTCACAATTCAGGTATCCTATCCCTCTCTGTGTTCCTCTCTCCCCCTCCAGTTCAGTGATTCGCTGGTGTACACCAGCAGAGGGATGACCGCAGACAACCAGTTCAAGGTTCACGGCCAGCTGCCTCTCTACGGCATGACAGTACGAGTCTCCAGAACCTGAACCGTAACATCATGGGCCAGTTTCCTGGACATAGATAAAGCCTGGCCCTATGGTGTCAGCTTTAGATAACATACCACAGCTGTAAATGAGCTCTGTCTCTCCTCTGATCCAACCCCTGTGTCTGTGTCCTCAGATCAGGGAGAGTGAGGATGACTGGGGAGTTCCTCATTCCTTCACCCTGTTTGGTCAGCGCCAGTCTGTCGTCCTGGCAGCAAGGTAAAAGTGTTCTAGATGTGTTCTAAAGAGTTTAGGGTGGTTTAGAGTGTTCAGGAGTGTTCTAGAGAGTGTAGGGTGGTTTAGAGTGTTCAGGAGTGTTCTAGAGAGTTTGGTTGGTTTAGAGTGTTCAGGCTTGTTCTAGATGTGTTCGCGAGGTTTAGAGGCTGGTTATCAAGAGTGTGCACGTTTCTAGAGATTTTGGGTGGTTTAGAGTGTTCAGGAGTGTTAGAGAGTGTAGGTGGTTGTAGTGTTTCAGGAGTGTTTATAATTGTTCTAAGAGTTTAGGTGTGGTGGTAGGTTTTCGAGGAGTGTTCTAGAGAGTTGTAGGGTGGTTTTTTTAGTTTCAGATAGTGTCTCGATTGTTCTAGAGCGTTTAGGGGGTTTAGAGGTTCGGAGTGTTCTACGTAGAGTTTTACGGTGGTATTTAGATGTTCAGGAGTTTTCTAGAAGGTAGGTGGTTTAGATGTATCAGTTAGGTTCTAGAGAGTTTATGGGTGTTTTCGAGTGTTAGGAGTGGTCATAGAGAGTTTACGGTGTGGTTTTGACGATTGTTCAGTATATGTTCTAGAATAGTGTTCTGCGAGTTTAGGGTGGTTTGAGCTAGTTCCAGATTGTTCTAGAATATTTTAGGGTGGGTTTAGAGTTTTACGGAGATCGGTTCTAGAGAGTTTAGGGTGGTTTAGAGTGTTCAGGAGTGTTCTAAATGTGTTCTAGAGAGTTTAGGGTGGTTTAGAGTGTTCAGGAGTGTTCTAGAGAGTGTTAGGTGGTTTAGAGTGTTCAGGAGTGTTCTAGAGAGTGTAGGGTGGTTTAGATTTTTCATGAGTTTTCTAAGAGTTGGGTGGTTTCGAGTGTCGATGTTCTAGGAGAGTTTCAGGGTGGTTTAGAGTGGTTCAGGAGTGTTTCATAGATGTGTTCTTAGAGATTTTAGAGGGGTTTAAAGAGGGTTCAGAAGATGTGTCTAGGAGATTTGCAGGGTGGTTTAATGTTCAGGAGTGTTCTAGCAAGTTTAGAGGGGTGGTTTAGAGTGTTCGATGAGTGTCTCTATATGCTGATGTGCTGATGATTTTAGTGTGGTTTAGAGTGTTCAGGAGTGTTCCTTAGAAGAGTGTTAGGGGGTTTAGGTAGTTCAGGAGTGTTTCTAAGAGAGTTTTAGTGTGGTTGCTAGAGTGTTACAGGGATGTTTCTAGCGAGTGTATGGTGGTATTCGAGTGTCTGAAGTGTTTCTATCAGAGTTTTTAGGTTAATTTAGAGTGTTCTGATGTTCTAGAAGTTAGTGTGTCTTCAGAGTGTATCAGAGAGATAGTTCTAGAGAGTTAGGGTGGTTTAGAGATGTTCAGGAGTGTCTAGAGAGTTTATGTTGAGTTTATATGTTCAGAGTTTCTAGAGATTTTAGTTGGTTTTCGAGTGTAGGTGTGTCTTCAGCAGAGTGTAGGTGTTTAGTAGAGTGTTCCTTGATGTTCTAACAGAGAGGTAAGGGTGGATTTAAGTTTGCAGAGTGTGCTCTATGAGATTGATAGGGTAGTTTAGATGTTCCGGATTGTTCTATCGAGTGTAGGTGGTTTAGATTGTTTCAGCGTGTCTAGCGATTGTATGGTGTTTGTAGTGTTCAGAGTGTGTCTAGGGACTTTGAGAGGTAGTTTTAAGAGTGTTATCAGGAGTGTTCATACGTAGAAGTTTCGTGGGTTTCGAGTGTTCAGGATTGCTACTCTAAGCGCGTGAGGGGAGTTTAGAGTGTTTCAGGAGTTTTCGTCGAGAGTGTAGGGTGTTTTCGAGTGTTTCAGCGATTGTTCTAGAGAGTTTTAGGAGGGTTGGGTTTACGTGTTCAAGGAGTGTTCTCTACGAGAGTTTGGATGGTGTTCGAGTAGTTATCCTTAGTGTTCTAGAATGTTTAGGGTGGTTTCGTGTTCCAGGAGTGTTCTAGAGAGTTTAGGGTGGTTTAAATTGGTTCAGGTAACATGTTCTAGAGAGTATTAGAGGTGGTTTTGCGAGTTGTTCAGGGGGAGTAGTTCTAGTAGTTTAGGGTGTTTGATAGTGTTCAGTACGTGTTCTAGAGCAGTGTAGCGGTGTTCGAGGCTTCGAAATAAGTGTTCTCGAGAGTGTAGGGTTGTTTCAGATTGTTCAGGAGATGTTTTCTAGAAGTGTAGGGTGGTTTAGAGTATGTTCAGGAGTTTTTTAGACATGTATATAGGGTAGTTTGAGTGTTCAGGAGTGTTTCTAGCGAGTATTAGGGTGGTTTAGAGGTTTTCGGATTTCTCGAAGAGTTCGGGGTAGTTTTGGGAGTGTTCAGGAGTGTTCCTAGAGAGTTTATGGTGTTTCGACTGTTCCGAGTGTTCTAGCTAGTGTAGGGTAGTTAAGTTTCGGAGTGTTCTAGAGAGTGTAGGGTGGTTTCGAGTGTTCAGGAGTGTTCTAGAGAGTTTAGGGTGGTTTCGAGTGTTCAGGAGTGTTCTAGAGAGTTTAGGGTGGTTTAGACGTGTTCCGCGATTGCTTCTAGAGATTGTGGGTGTTTAGAGTGTTCAGGCAGTGTTCTGAGAGTTAGGGTGGTTTCGAGGGTTTCAGGGTGTTCTGGAGATTTTAGGGTGTGGATGTAGACGTGTTCATGTGTTCCTAGATGTGTCTAGAGAAGATTTAGGGTGGTTTTTTGCGTGTTCAGAATGTTTCTAGATGTGTTGCGAGGAGTTTAGGTGTTTAGGTGTTTCGAGTGTTCAGGAGTGTTCTAGAGAGTTTAGGGTGGTTAGAGTTTCCAAAGGATAGGTTTCTAGGAGGTGTAGGTAGTTTAGAGTGTTCAGGAGTGTTCTAGAGAGTGTAGGGTGGTTTCGAGTGTTCAGCGCGTGTTCTATAGATTTTAGGGTTGTTTAAGAGTGGTTCAGGATTGTTCTAGATGTGTCTAGAGAGTTAAGTGGTTTTGAGTTTCAGGACTGTTCTCAGATGTTTTCTAGAAGTTTATGGAGGTTGCTAAAGGGTGTTTTAGAGTGTTCAGGAGTTGGTTCTAGAGAGTTGTTTAGGTGGTTTAGAGGGTTAGGAGTGTGTCTAGATGTTGTTCGGAGAGTTTAGGGTGTTGTAGGGTGGTTTAGAGTGTTCTTCTAGAGCAGGGGTGTCAAACTCATTTTGGCCCCGGGGCCGCATTCTGTCATCAACGAGGTCCGTAGGGCCTCACTGAAAATGGGTCATATTTCCTCGCTGTCAAAGATTAGCACACATTGTCCTCTACGCTCCTTCGTTTGGTATTACGAGCTGGACCTTCAGAAAAAACTCTGTATGACTTATAGTCCTCTCAGTCTCTACACGTTTCATTCATGTTGTAATGTGTATCAAAGCACAATCTCTCTTCAAGACTCTGACTGACTATATGAGTGTTAACCTCAATACTGAACCTTTTGTTCTGCTGTGGCGTTCCCCTGCTGTAATAACCCTCTCCTCTTCTCCCCTCGCTGTAGGTATAATCCTATCTGTACGCTTTCAGTGGCTTGCTAAAGTATTCACCCCCCTTGGCGTTTTCCATTTTATTGCCTTACACCCGGAATTAAATTGATTTTTGGGGGGTTTTGTACCAATTTGATATTCTCACCTCCTACCACTTGAAGATGCAAATATTTTTTATTATTGTGAACACAGAAATAAGAAGCAAAAAAAACTTAAAACTGAGCTTGCAATAACTATTCACCCCCCCCAAATCAATACTTTGTAGAAGCCACCTTGCAGCAATTACAGCTGCAAGTCTCTTGGGTATGTCTTCTATAGCTGGGCACATCTAGCCCTTGGATTTCTGCCCTTCTCAAGGCAAACTGCTCCAGCTCCTCACGTTGGCTTGGTTCCGCTGGTGTACACAATCTTAAGTCCTATACCACAGATGGTGTTCTCGGGGTGATGAAAGAGGGGTGGGTTTGCGCCATACATAGTCGTTTTCACTTGCTGGCCAAAATCGTATTTGGGCTTCACTAGGCAAATGGGTGAATACATATGCACCACCACTTTTCTCGTTATTGAATTTTTTTAGACACATTATTCCTTCATTTCACTTCAACCAATTTGGACGATTTTTGTTTCCGTCCCATACAAGAATCCCAATTGAATCCATTACATTACAGTTGTAATGCAACAATAGGAAAAAACCCAGGGGGATTATATCTTTTCATCAATGGCACTGTCCTATCGTCTATCTAACCATGTTGCCCTACTGTCTATCTAAACCATGTCTGTCCCTAGCTGTCTATCTAAACCATGTCTGTACTCTGTCCCTAGCTGTCTATCTAAACCATGTCTGTCCCCTGTCCCTAGCTGTCTATCTAAACCATGTCTGTCCCCTGTCCCTAGCTGTCTATCTAAACCATGTCTGTCCCCTGTCCCTAGCTGTCTATCTAAACCATGTCTGTCCCCTGTCCCTAGCTGGCTATCTAAACCCTGTCTGTCCCCTGTCCCTAGCTGTCTATCTAAACCATGTCTGTCCCCTGTCCCTAGCTGTCTATCTAAACCATGTCTGTACTCTGTCCCTAGCTGTCTATCTAAACCATGTCTGTCCAGAACGAGTGTCTTTTTTTTCCCTAGCTGGTCTATCTAAACCAGGTCTGTCCCTGCGTCCCTAGTCGGTCTATCTAAACCATGTCTGTCCCTGTCCTAGCTTCCTATCTAACCATGTCTGTCCCTATCTGTCTCTCTATCTACACCTGTCTGCTGATCCCTACTGTCTATCTTAAACATGTCTGTCCCTAAGTACGCTATCTAAGACCATGTCCTGTCCCCCCTGTCCCTAGCTGTCTATCCAAACCATGTCTGTCCCCTGTCCCTAG